GGTTAAGGAATCCAGACCCTCGCTCTTACCCCACACAGAGATTCGCAATCGCTCGCTCTCAGGTGATGCGAGCTCTCGACCGACAATGTGAGTTGTATATTTACACCAGTAATATCCTGCACTGATGTCCGATGGAGTGAATGTGGCCGTGTTGTTGTTCTCTGGAGCTGGATGTGATGTGATAGATTCGGCATTTCTGTACAAAGAAAATTGGCTTCCGGGGTAATTTCCGGTACATGAGATCTGAGGACTTTCTCCTCTCAAAAATACCCGGGAATCTGGTTCCAGAGAAATGGTGGGTTTCTGCAGCGGATCTAGAATCAAAATACAGTGAAGGTAATCTCACACACACTCGCTCTGTGACACAAAATTCAGCTCAGAATAAAAGTGACCACCTGCTTGTTTCCCATCGTGCAGAACAGGTCGGTACGGGGGTCGGCGGAGGGGGAGCGAGGCGGGGTTCTGTTAAGGGACAGGCTCGGGACAGAACCCTATAATTGTTTCACTACATAGACTGAGGTGACGCGAAGTGTGGGATAGAGGTGGCCAGGCCGGATTTTGAGGCCGTGTACTTGGGTTACACACAACGCCACACTGTGATCGGACGGCGGAAGTTTAGCCGTAACCTCTCTTGTGACCTTCCATCATGGTATGAAACACATTGAAGTAGAAACCAGAAATTCACATGAGGGAGAGGAACAGAACTGTCTACAGGGACCGGCTTCCGGAAATGGAGTATCAGGATTGAGTCCATCGCGATTGATCTCTAACACAAAAACAGAGAGAGTTGGGAAAACTCAGCAGGTCAGGAAGCATCTATGGTGAAAGGCAAGTGAGTCAACGTTTCGGGTCCACGGCTCTACGTCAGAAACCTTCGTTAAACCCATTCAAGTAGAAGCCAGACCTTCACATGAGGGAGAATAACAGAACTGTCTACAGGGACATGCATTTGGAAACGGAATATCAGAATTGAGTCCACGGCAACTGAGTCCATTACCTGAACTGCTCTCTCTATTTATGTTTAAGATTACAGCATCTGCAGTATTTTGTGTTTTGTCTGCGATTGGTCTCTAGTCTGGTTCCTAATTGAGGTGAGTCTTCATTATTCCAGCGCCGTGCTAATGATAGCACAGCCCACACTTTCTCATCGGCAGGAAATGGAAGGGCAGACCAATCATTGGGAAAGTCTATCACAACACACAGTTTCTGTTAACTCTGGAAGCCAAGGCGCTAACAAGAAGAGTGATCCTCGCTGGACAAACAAAAGAAAGCTTGCTCGACAGCGACATCGAAGGCAGTTCTATGTGCGCACTTTGGGGCTTGGCTTTTCACGTTGATTTCGCAGGTTAGGGTATCAGTGTTAGGGGAAATACTTGAGTCCTTAATTAATATGCAGTTATGGGATTCCTGAAAGACCCTAACGAGATTAGTCAGAGTCAACATGTATCTACAAAAGGGAAATCATGCTTAACTAACCTTTTAGAGTTTTTTGAAGATGTATCTGCAGGTTAGATTGGGGGTAACCAGTAGATGCAGTATATTTAGAGTTTAAAAAGGCATTTGACAAAGTGCAACACAAAAGGCTATTGCACAAGGTTAAGGCCCACGGGATTAATGGGAACATATTAGCATGGATTGAAGAGTGGCTAACGGGTAGAAAACAGAGAGTAGGGATAAACGGGTCATTCTCCATTTGGCAGGATGTGATTAGTGGAGTGCCACAAAGATCAGCGCTTGGTCCTCAGCTATTTACAATTTACATCAATGATCCAGATGAGGCCATTGAATGTAACGTATGTAAATTCGCAGATGACACTAAACTAGGTGGGAGGGTAAGCTCTGAGGATGATGCGAAAGATTGCAATGGGATATAGATAGGCTAGGGGAGTGGGCAAGTAGGTGACAGAAGGAATTTAATTCGGAGAATTACGAAGTTATTCACCGAGGTAGAAAAATTAGAAAAACAGATTATGTTCTAGAGGGGGAGAGACTACATAGTTTTAGTATTCAGAGGGATTTGGGTGTCCTTGTACACCAGTATCGAAAAATTAGTTTGCAGCTGCAGCAGCATCTAAGAAGGCGAAGGGTAGTTAAAGTTCATTGCAAAAGGTTTATAGTACAAGAGAAGTGAAGTCTTGCTGCAACTGTATAAGGCCTTGGTGAGACCGCACATAGAGTATTGTGTGCACTTTTGGTCTCCTTATTTAAAAAAAGGATATACTTGCCCTAGACGGGGTGCAGCGTAGATTCACTCGGTTAGTTCCTGGGATGAGAGGACTGACCTATGAGGATAGGCTGAATAAACTAGAGCTCTATTCTCTAGAGTACAGAAGAATTCGGGGAGATCATATTGAAACATATAAGATTCTTAAAGGGTTGGATAAAGTAGACACTGAGGGTCTGTTTCCCCTGGTAGGAGCAATTATAAGCAGGGGTCACAGTTTTAAAATTAAGAATCAGCCTTTTAGAACAGAGTTGAGGAAATATTTCTTGATTCAGAGGGTAGTGACGTTAGGGAATTCACTACCTAAGAAGGCTGTGGATGTTCAGTCCTTCAACATCTTCAAGGCAGAGACTGATAGATTTTTAAAAAATAGAGGGATTAGGGAATATGGGGATAGGGCAGGTACTTAGAGTTAGGTCAGAAGATCAGCCATTATCTTATCAAATGGCGGGGCAGTCTCGAGGGGCCGAATGGCCTACTCCTGCTCCTAATTCTTATGTTCTTATCTGCTGATGATACATGCCCCGGGAATGATGAGTAGGAAGTGTCTCATCCACCGTGATATAGAAGGGGAGGCTGATGATTGGAGGAGGGAGGGAGTGGCGGGGGAGGAAATGGAACAGGACGGAGGGAATGATTGTAAGGGAAGATAGGGTAATGAAGTAGAGAGGGTGGACCGGGGTAGAGAGAGCAGGCGATGAACTAGCAGGTAAGAAGTGCGAGAGAGGGGATGGCCAGCGGGGTGAGAGCACGGAGAAAGAGGGTTGAGAGCGCGGGAAAAATGGGGAAAACGTGGGTGAATAATTAGGTAAGATAGGGACAGAGTGGGAAGAGAATGCAGGAGAGGTGCATTTAGGTGAGAGAGACGGGGGAGAGAGAATGAGTAGAATGGGAAACAAGGGAGGCAGAGGTAGGTAGAGGAACATAGCGCGGGAGACGAGGGAAGGGTTAGTGAGAGAGAATAAGTGAGTGCGAGAGAGGTGAGAAGACGAGAGTTGGGGAAACGCGGGTGAGTACGTGGCAGGAGAGAGAGAGGGCTCGAGAGGAAGGGGGAAAATACAAAGGGGACATCAGGGGATATCATGGAAATATAATCGACGGCGTAAAGCGTGTTTCCATCAAAAGCTGCTGTGAATATTCAAAAGGCAAACTCTGTGTGAACGCTTACTCAGTTCTTACCTCGCATAGTGATTCCCACTCTCTCGCTCTCTGGGGATTTGAGCTTTCGGCCGCCCATGTGAGTAGTATATTTACACCAGTAATTTCCTGCCCTGATCTCCAATGCGGTGAATGTAGCCGTTTTGTTACTCTCTGGAGCTGGTTGCGATGTGATAAACTCGCCGTTTCTGTATAAAGAGAAATTGCTGCCAGGAAGATTCCCAGAACATGAGATCTCAGCGCTTTCCCCTCTTACAAACATCCGCGAATTTGGTTTCAGGGAAATGGTAGGTTTGCGGAGTGGATCTGGAATTACAATACAGTAAAAATAATGTCACCAGCATTCGTTCTGTGTCTGGAATCGGTTGAGGATAGAGTAAAAGTAACTACTTGTTTCTTTCTCAGCTTAAACCAGGCTTCAGGAATATGGTGACGGGGAGGGGTAGAGGTGCAGGTTGAGGACAGAACTAAGCAAGTTCTTATTTACACAGAGGGAGGGGGAGCGACTGCTGAAATCGAGTTGGTCAGCGAGGGCAGTGAGATCGGTAACTGGGGTCTCACATAGCTCCAGACTGGGAGGGAAGGCCGGGAATTCAATCTGAACCTCTCATGTGAACTTTAGAGATCTTTTTAAACACATTCAACTGAAAGTCAAATTTTCATATGAGGGCGAGTAGCATCAGCAGAACTGGGAAAAGGAGATGGGTTTGACAACGGAATATCAGAATTAAATCGACCACAATTGGTCTTCAATCGGTTTCTGGAACGAACACATTCCTGGAATGATGTAAGGAAAACGTGTCATCACCAACTGATACAGAAGCTGGGATTGTGGGGGGATCGACGGTGAGAAGGGGAGGAATTGAGATGGAAGTGTGATGAAGTCGGAAGAGAGCGCTTGGAGCACAGCGAGAGGATTGTGGGAGAGAGGGAACTGGGGAAACAGAAATAGGGAGTGTCAGAGTGAGAGGGAGTGGGAGAGGGCTGAAGAAAGGTATATACGTGGGGGAGAAAGTGCGAAAGAGGAGGAAATGAGGTAGAAGAGAGTTGGGGAAAGAGGGTGAGTGAGGCGAAAGAGAGGGTGTGTTGCTGTGAGCAAGGAAGGGCGGAAGAAGGGGAAAGAGGGAGAATGGAGGGGGAGATGTAGCAGGACGAGAGAGGACGGATAGGGGGGAGAGCGCGGGGTATTATGGGGCAAGGGAGAGATGGAGTCGGGGAGGAAAATGGGGCGCTACACAGGAGATATCAGACGACAGCATGGAAATATGATCGATGATATCAAGAGTTTTTACAAAAACAGATGCAGTAAATGGTCAAAACACACACTGTTTGCCACTATGTTGGGATTTTATTCAGTTCTTACCCTGCACAGAGATTGCCACTCGGTCGCTCTCTGTTGATGTGAAATCTCGGCCGTCTAAGTGTTTAGTGTATCTACACCAGTAATTTCCTGCAATGATCTCCGACATGGTGAATAATGCCGTACTGTTATTCTCTGGATCTGGTTGTGAAGTGATAAACTCTCCGTCCACATATAAAGAGAAATTGCTGCCAGGATAATTTGCAGAACACGAGATCTCAGCGCTTTCCCCTCTCACAAACACCTGAAACTCTGGTTTCAGGGAAATGGTGGGTTTCTGTAGCGGATCTGGAATTATAAAAGAACAAAGAAAATCTCACAAGTACTCGCTCTGTGAAACGGACACCTTTAGCGTCAGAGTAAAAGTGACAATTTGATTGTTTCCAGTCTGGAAGAGGCGTCAGAACGAGGACTGATGTGGAAGGGATGAGGGGCAGATTCAAATCCGACCCGAGCAAGAGTCTCTTTACACAGAAGTAAAGCTGAGAACTGCGTGGCCAGGGATGGCAGTCGACTCTGGTAAAACACAGCACCAGCCAGGGACGGGAGGTAGGGAATTGAGTACGACTTCTTGTGTTATCTTCAGACGTGTTTTTAAGCAATAGGATAAAATCTCGACAAGTGGATCAAACATAGAATGTACTACCAACGAAATCACAAAGAGGGGAGTGTGATATCAGGAATTACTGGCTGAAGCGGTGTGTAGAATCAGTCAGTTTAGATACATTCCTGAATAAGCCAGACATTCTAGAGGGAGAGGGGAATTGAGGGATTCGAAGAGAGGGAGGGGGTGTGGTAAGAAGGCTGTGAGAGCGTGTGGGAGGGAGGGACGGACAGAAGGAGGGTGCCGGAGGGGTTGAACGTGTGAGATGGTGTCGGAGGCAGTGAGGATGTGGGAGTGAGGGAGATGTTGATAGTAATAAAGGGTGTGGGTAAGAAGAATAGAGGGTATGAGTCGGTGTGAGTAATCGAATGTGTGGGGTTTAGTAAGGAATGGGTGGTGACTTTTGTTGTCACGCGGCTGGGACAAGGATGGGGATGGAGGTTGGAGGTGGGGGTGGGAATGTGATCGAGATGATTGTACACCAGTGGAGAGTAAGCGGCTATTTTGCAGATTGGTGAAAGAATCCACGTTCTCGCTCTTACCCCACAAAGAGATTCTCAATCGCTCGCTCTCGGGTGATGTGAGCTCTCGACCGACAATGTGAGTAGTATATTTACACCAGTAATATCCTGCACTGATGTCCGATGCGGTGAATGTGGCCGTGTTCTTATTTTCTGGAGCTGGTTGTGATGTGATAGACTCAGCGTTTCTATACAAAGAAAATTTGCTTCCGGGATAGTTTCCAGTACATGAGATCTGAGGACTTTCCCCTCTCACAAATACCCGGAAACCTGGCTCCAGGGAAATGGTGGGTTTCTGAAGCGGATCTGGAATCAAAGTACAGTGAAGGTAATTTCACATACACTCGCTCAGTGACACGAAATTCAGGAAAAAATTGACCACGTACATATCGCGTAGGAGAGGTCAGTATGGGGTGTGTTTTTTGGGTCCAGTGGTCGGTTCAGGACAGAATCCTACAAGTATTTCATTGCACAGAGGGCGGTGAAGCTACGGCTGGGAGCGAGGTGTCCCGGCAGGATATTGAGGCCGGGACGGGGGTAACATGCAGCTTCAGCCCTGGGAGGGCGGAATTTCAGTCTGAAACTCTCTTGTGATCTTCGGTCGTTTAGCAAAACACATTTAAGTGGAAGCCAGAACTTTACACGAGCAGAGGAACAGCAACAGATCTATATGCAAGAACATGCGTTTGGAAACAAAATATCGGAATTGAGTGCACCGCGAATGCTCTCCAGTCTTGTTCCTAAGTGAGAAGGGTTCTCAGTATTCCAGGGCAGTGCTGATGATAGCACAGCCCAGCCTGGCTCATCGGCAGGAAATCGAAGGGCAGACCAATCACTGGGGGAGTCTACCATCATACTCAGTTTCTGTTAACTCTGGAAGCCAAACCTATAACAAGAAGTGTGATCCTCACTGGACAAACATTGGGGGAGCTTGCCAGCCTACGACATCAAAGGCAGCTATGTGTGCACTCTGGGGTTTGGCTTTCAGTGTCCCGCAGATAATACCCACAGGGAATGATGAACAGGTAGTGTCTCATCCACCGTGATATGGAAGGGGGTGGTGATGATTGGAGGAGGGAGGGAGAGATGTGGGAGGAAGTGGACAAAGGGCGGAGAGAATAATTGTAAGGGACGAGAGTGTTATGCGGGAGTGAGGGTGGACGGGGAAAGAGAGTGCAGGCGAAGAAAAAGCATGGAAGAGGGGCGAGAGATGGAATGGCCAGTGGGGTGAGAGCGCGGAGAAAGAGGGGGGAGGGCGGAAATTAGGGGAAAACGTGGGGGAATAAAAGAGGAAGATGGGGAGAGAGGGCGAAGAGAATGCAGGAGAGTTGCAGCGGAGTGAGATAGACGGAGGAGAGAGAGGGATGACGGGTAAACTAGGAAAGCAGAGGTTGACAGAGGGCAGAGCGCGGGAGACAAGGGAAGTGTTAATGAGAGAAGGGGCGGGAGAGGTGAGAAGGCGAGAGTTGGGGAAAACGCGGGCGAGTGCGTGGCAGAGGAGTGAGAGAGAGAGGGGGGCAGGGGGAAACGACATAGGAGACATCCAGGGATAACATGAAAATATAATCGACTGCGTAAAGCTTGTTTACATAAGACCTGCTATGAGTTTTCAAAAGGCAAACGGGTTATTGTGTGAAATTTTATTCAGCTCTTACACCGCATAGAGATTCCCACTCGCTCGCTCTCTGGTGATGTGAGCTTTCGAATGTCTATGTGTAACGTATATTTACACCAGTAATTTCCTGCACTGATCTCCGATTGGGCGAACGTTGCCGTTTTGCTATTTTCTGGAGCTTTTTGTCAGATGATAAATTCGCCATCTCTGTATAGAAAGAAAATGCTGCCAGGATAATTCCCAGAACACGAGATCTCAGCACTTTCCCCTTTCACAAACACGGAAATCTGGCATCAGGGAAACGGTGGGTTTGTGGAGCGAATCTGAAAACAAAACCCATGGGGAGAGAATGGGAGAGACTCGTGTCACAGAGCGGGCGGAACAAGAGGAAGGATAGCGTGTGGAAAGGGAGCTGTGATCGCTGTGATTGGACACAAGGGGGCAATGAGTGGTTATTAGTGAGAGATTCCAGCTCACATCACCAGACAGCGCTTACCCCACACAGAGATTCCCACTCGCTCGCTCTCAGGTAATGTGAGCTCTCGTCCGTCCATGTGTTTAGTAGATATACACCAGTAATTTCCTGCACTGATCTCCGATGGAGTGAAAGTTGCCGTGTTGCTATTTTCTTTAGCTGCTCGTGATTTAATCAACTCGCCGTCTCTGAAAAAAGAGAATTTGCTGCCAGGATACTTCCCAGAACACGAGATCTCAGCGGTTTCCCCTCTCATGAACACCCGGGAATCCGGCTTCAGGGAAATTGTGGTTTTCTGGACCGGAGCTGCAATAAAATCAAAGTAAAGATAATCTCACAAACAATCGCTCTGATCTTTGCTGTTATAATTAACTTCAGGGTAGACAATGAGCCCAGCCGAATGCCCGTTTGAACTGTTTTGTTTTAGGATTAATATGAGGCAGAAATTTGGATTGATTTTAACCCACTTCTCGATTGGACGCTGGGATTCTCCTGTAATTAAATATTTGTCTGTGCGCTCGGGGTCAGTGTGAGCTGTGGGTCGGTGTGAGCTGGGAGTCGCTGTGAGCCGGGGTTCAGTGTGAGTTCGCGATCATTGTGAGCTCGGGGTAGGTGTGAGCTGGGATCAGTGTAAGTTCCGTGTCAGTTTGAGCTGAGGATTGTTGTGAGCATGGGTTGCCTCTACTCTTGTCTGCCTGTTCGGGTAGAGAACATACGTCTCGGGGCAACATTGAAAATCAGAAGGGAATTTTTCCTTGTGATTTGGCCGACATTCCCCAAACAAAATGGATCATTCACTTCACGGATGTTTGCGGGATCTTTGCTGTGCTAAAGTAATTATTGTGGCAATTGGCCGTGGTTCTCAAGATGTTTTTGCGACAGAGAAACATCTGGTGTAGGGGAATTCCACATTCAGCTCCTTGGTACGTCCTCCAGACATGAGCGGCGTTGGTCACTTGTTGGTGTTGCTGTAAGAACCTAAGTAACGTCTTTTCTGGGGAGTATCAATAGTCGAAGTCAATAGAACTATATAATTCGCACCCACTCAGCCCCTCGCCCTGTGCTCAGACAATTCATCAGAGCACAGCACACCCGCAACCGCACCACCCCGGGCTCCCCAACCCCGTGCACAGCCCCACGCTGTGTTCAGGTTCTCCTCTATGCTCAGCCACCCTCCTTTTCTCAGGCCCTGTGATCACCCGTCTTCCGTTTCTCAGGCCCTGTGATCAGCCACCATCCTGTTCTCACCCCGTGTGCTCACCGCAATGCTCACCCGCCACTGCGCTTCCCTCTGCGCTGACCCCTTGCAAACAACGCCTGAGCCCAACACTTGTGTTCAGCACCGTGTGCTCACCGCATCCTGTGCTCAGCCCTCCTGTGCTAACTATTGTTCTAATCCAGACCCATGTGCTTATCCCCTGGGCTGAACCTCTGTGTTCACTCCCCACTGTGCTCAACACCGCAATGCTCACCCCATCCTGTACTCAGCTCCTGTAATCACCACCCGTGTTATCACACGCTGTGCTCGGCTCCCTGTACCCAACCAATTAGTTCGCCCTCATGTGCTCAATTCCCTGTGCTCAGCGCCCTGCAATCAACACCCACACACTGTGCTCACTGACCCCTGTGCTCACCATCATCCTTGCTAATCCCCATCCATGGTGCTCTTTGACCGTGCCTTCAGCTCCACTCTCGACTCTCTTCCCCCTCCTCGCTCCCTCCCTTCCCTCCCGTCACCCTGACTATTTCCTCCCTCCTCGCTCCCTCCCTTCCCTCACCCTGACCATTTCCCCCCTGCTCGGGTCATGACCCAACTGTGCAGCGCCTTGGGACGTCCTCCTGACGTGAAAGGCGCTTTATAAATGGAATCTTGTTGCTGTTGTTGCTCACCCGAGTTCCTTGTGCTCAGCCCCAGCGCCCAATCTCTATGTTCAAACCTGTGTGTTCACCACCACCTGTGCACACCCGGGCCCTTTTGCTCACCCCCAATGTATTCAGCACGATGTGCTGATTACGTATTTTGCACAGCCCCCTCCCTGTCTTCACCCCAACCGTTGCTCACCCTCATTATGATCAGCCCCTGCTCTTGCAACCTCCCTGTGCTCAACCTCCTATGCTCACTTCCCCTATGTTCAGCCCCCACTGTGCTTTATCCCTCTCTGCGCAATCCATCTGTGTGCTCAAACACTTTGCTTACCCGCTGTGCTCATCCACCCCCACTGCGTTCACAAACTCAGTGCTTAAGCACTGTGGTCACCCCCGGTTCTAAGCCCACCTGCGCTCATGCCACTGTGACAAACACGTCTACCCAGTGTCGTGTGGCCACCTCATGTGTTCAGGCATCTTGGGCTGCACCCCGCTCCCTACCCTGTGCTTACTGTCTGCACACTTTGCTCATTCTCCGCTGTGTTCACATCTCGTGTTCACACCCTGTGCTCACACCCTTTGCCCACCACTCCCGAGCTCTCTATCCTGTTGCTCACCTCTGCATGCTTATCACTCCTTATCCATTGATAATCCCACCTGTGCTCTGCCCCCTTTGCCCTCTTCCTCTATGCTCCCCCTTACCTATGCTCTCACCCCTGTGCCCACTCCCCTTTTCTAAACCCTCCCCCGTGCTCAATCCCAGTGTTTTTTTCCCTGTGCACAACCGACCTGTGTTCACCTCTTCGCTCAACCACCATATGCTCACCCCATATTTACCCCCGCCTTATGCTCACTGCCTTGCGCTCACCACGCAGTCTTCACCCCCTCTGTTCTCAACAACCTACGCTTACCACAGCCTTGTGCCAGCACACCTTTGCTCACCTACCGGGCTCCCCTCATTTTGTGTTACATCCTCGCTCAATCAAGCCCCCACCCCTTTCCTTGATCGCGCCCCCAACCTGTGGTCACACCCGCTGCTGACCCACAAGGTGCTCACACGCCTGTGCTCATCACACTCTTTTTATCATCTTGTGTCACCCCGTGGTCTACCCACCTGTGTTGAACCCACTGTATTCACTCCTTTTTGCCCTCCTACCCTTTGCTCATATCATTCAACCCCGTGCTCACCCCCTCTGGGAAATCCCCTACTGCAGCAATCCAGCCCCTGTACTCACACCCTGTTGCTCATTGTTACTTACCGTCAATCCTGTGGTCCCAACCCTTCGCCCTCACCTCCAGGTTTTTCAATTCCAACCTTGTTCAACTCCCTTTTGCCTGCCATCGCTTGCAAACTTCCGTGCTACACTCAACCCACACTAAGGCCACCATCAAGCCTCCTTCGACAACGAGGAGATGATCAGACTACAAATTTGTTTACCTGAGCAGATGACTCCTGCATCATTGGCGTGTGTCCTGTAATAGTGACCCCAGGGCCATGTGTGACAATCCCTCAGAGCAGACTCGCTCCCTCTGCACCGCACATTGTATGTCACAACGTAGCCTGATCCTTTGCCAAATTGAGCTCGTGATGCTGACAGCGCGTCTCCGCAGCCCAACTCCTTACACACCACAGCCGCGGCCTTCATATCCCACGTTAGAACATAGCCATAGTCATAGCTATAACCATCGATTGTGCCCCATTGCCCTCCCTGGTAAATCTCCACTCTCCCGGCACACGGGCTGCCGCCATTGACCAGCCTCACACTTACATTCCCTGTAAAATAGCATACACAGAATTTAACGTTTGTTTCCTGTTTGATTTCCAGTCACCCAGGTTAATGCAATAAAATATACCTTTACGGAGCGCATGACACATTGGGAGGGTGTCTGGGGTAATAAACAATATAACAAGTATAATAATCATTATAATGTTTGGGCTGACTATTGGCGACATACAGTCCGCAATCCGAGTGTCACAGCAACAGTATATTTCACAACTAGCTGTGCACTTTGCCGCTAAGTTTGGAAACAAAGGTTAGTATCATTCTTCTGTATATTATTATATTTTATCTTAGGTTATTATTTTTTATATTAAATTTTTTAATTTATCGTATATAATTTAATTTATACTTGATATAATATTATACTTTGTGTTAAAATATTGTATTTTATTACATTTATTATGTTATACTTAATATTAGATTAATATATTTTATTACATTATTGTAATTTATATTATTACATATTATATTAGATAATTGTTTGCGTATGTTAGATGACGATATTTCATATTAACACACTTTATATATGTTATTATACTTCCTATAACATTAGGAGTCTCATCCAAAAAAGAATGTCATTGGTTTTCTAATTTGTTATAGAATATATTAGTACAGGTGCACATCTCTAGAATGGTGTGTTATTTTCTCTGTCGATACCATGTTAAAGAGCTCCAAGCGTACAACATTTCTCTGCTAAAGTTGAGATAAACAGTTGATACTCAAACAAGGAGAGTTAGACACTAAACAGGCCAACATGATACTGCAGAATCATAGCTCAGCCACCTCAGGGCTATTCTCTCCGGGGAGGGGAGGGGGAGTGAGTGGGGGGGTGGGGAGGTGGCATAACAATTCAGCATCACAAACAATACGGCCCAAGTCAGAGAGATTCCACGTCTCCCAACATACCCTCCATTTCACAGCTGCCACCCAGTGCACAGCTGACACCGCAGGAACAGCCACTCCTGCAGAGCCCCACACATGCTGGCACAGACCCTCAGTCACAAACACCCAGGGAACAGCTGACCCATCCCCAGGGCACAGAAACATTCCCATTGCACAGCCACTCATATCTGCACTGCCCCTGTCATAGTGCCCAGCGCCCAGCTTCCAAGGGCAAAACGGCTCCCAAATGCACATCCCATCAAAATACAGTCCTTCATTCACAGCACCGCTCCACAAAGCAGAACCCCCTTCGCCAATCACTGCCGCAGTTTATCGTCTTCACACAAAGCAAACATTTCTCCCGTTGCACAGCCCAACCTCATTTCACAAATCCTGCCCCATAAGGTACACGCACCAAAGCACAGAAACCCCAGACAAGCTCCCAAGTCAGCCCACAGTAACACAGGGTATAGCACCTCTCACGGCACAGGCGCTCCAACATGGCAAAGAGACCCCAACGAAGCATAGCCCCCACCCAATATAGCACCCCTTCATGCACAGTAACTGCCCCCCAGAATACGGCGCCCCATGGCGCATCCCCTACACATTAAACTTCTCCCAGACAACCCCCACCCCCAACGCTACTCCCTGGCATAACCCCACTCAGAGCATACCTCCATATATCCACAAACATTGGGGCAGCTGTGACCGCACCCTCCAAAACCCAGAGGCCTAACCGTGAGTTTCTCCACCATCCTCCCAGGCCGAGTCTCACTCTTAGAATCTACCATAGCAGCTTCTCTTTGTGAGATTGTGTCACTAACCTGCAGATTCCACTGTCTTTCTCTTCAGAAATATCACTGCACAATGGAAAAAAAAGTCAAAGCAGGAATTATTAACAACCACCAAATTATAGTTATGGAGCGCCTTTCACGTCGGAAGAAAGTCTCATAGCGCTGAACAGTCAGAGGTCGAGGCCCGAGTATGGAGTGCGGGAATGGGGGTGCGCAGAGTTGCGGGGATTGGGGTTTGTGTGGTGGGGTGGGAATGTAGAGCGGTGGGAGGGCGACCAACGACACGATTGAAGAGAAGTATCTTGATACCGACCTTGAAGGAGGCAAGCTAGGACGCGAGGTCAAGGGACAGAGGGATGGAGTTCGAGAGGATGGGGGCAGAGAGGCTAAAAACTCGGCACCGAAGGTAGGGAGGGTCGGGCGGGAGACATGTAACAGACCGGAGCCCGCTGAACGTAGGGAGCGGGCAGGTTGACAGGCAATTAACACAGCAATTCATGCAACCGGGGATCTAATCTGTCCGGTCTGTCACATTACCAATATTTTGTCCTTAATTACAAGGAAGCCATTTAAGTTGATCAACATAATAGACTCCAGTGGGGATAGAGAGAGAGAGAGGATCGGAATAGAATAGGGAGCTCCAGTGAGGGAACCAGCACCCGAATACAAACGACAAGGAGAAGGAAAGAAGAGAATGGAAATACATTGGAGAACTCCTGTGCTGCAGCGAGAACGATCATATAAACAACAGGCAGAGAGTTAGCAATAAATGGGACTAGCGGAAAGAGCTCCGCTTCGGGATCGTGCACATGCACAGGCATGATGGGGAGAGAGACAGCATGGTATGGGAATAGAACAGAACGGCATTTCTGTGCAAGGACCGTTTCTGTTTCTATTCATGCAGAAGACTGGGTTTGGTGACTGTCCAGAAAAAGAGAAGTTTATCTCAAACCCCGTTTATAGGCAGAACACAATGTTTCTCCCTGTCGATAAGCAGTGCGCTCACTGGCTGTTGTTTACTCCTGGTCGCTCCGCTCCCGTTCGCCATGAGCAACAACTTGCGTTTTGACAACTTGCATTTATACAGCGCCCTTCAAACGGGGAAATGTCCAGGAGGACTTTATCATTGCAAAGACTTCCACAAAATTTCAACCTTCCCTCTGTCAGTGACAACAGCACGAGGTCCCCCTTCAATCACTCTAGCCCTCCCTTTCCACCATTCCTTTCGCAGTCCCTCTGCATTCACGCCTCCCTCTTCCCGCTGCCTTTCACCTCTCTCCCTCAACCCGGACCACTCTATACTCAATATTCAACCTTTTAACATCTCATTCCTCTCTGCTCTCCATTCTCTCTTTCTCCAACACACTCCCTCTCTTCCCTGCTCTCTCTCTCTTCTCCACTTTCTGATTTCACTCACCACTCCACTCTCTCTCCCAATACCCTCTCTGCCATCTCCCGTCTCTCTCCATTCTCGCGTCACTCTCTCTTAACGCCTTTCTCCTCTTTCTCTTCTCTACCCTCTCCACTCTCCCGCCTCTCCTCTACCAACAAAACGAAACTACATCCAGCAGAAGATCGAATTCAAGATCCTCGTCCTCACTTTCAACGCCATTCATGGCCTTGCTCCCTTCTACCTCTCTGATCTGCTGAGTGCCTACCGAACTGCCCGCTCCCTACTTTCAGCGGGCTCCAACCCGACACGCCCTACCATCGGTGGCCGGGCTTTCAGCCTCTTTGCTCCCACACTCTGGAACTCCATCACACAGTCCATTCGCACGGGTTCCTCCCTTGCCTCCTTCAAGGCGGTCTCAAGATTCTCCGATTCGATCGTGTTTTAGTCGCCCTCTCAACTTTCTGCCATCCCTCATCCCTAACCCACCCCTTCCCCATGCTCGGGCCCTGAAACCTGACTGTCCAGCGCGGAGGGAGTTTCTTCTGACGTAAAAAGTGCTCCATAAATATAATTTTCTATTTGTTCTATAGGGTCTTTCACGTCGGAGGTCGACTTTGGCGCTGGGCAGACAGAGTTTGGTACACAAGCTGATGGCAGGCATTAAGGAGTGTGGAGGTCACGATGGAAGGATGGTCATCGAAAGAACGGTCAAAGAGAAGGGTGTTACGATGGATCTTGAATGAACTAAGGAAGATTCGAAGTGGGCATACTGCAGAATGGAGTTTCTGAGTGTGGAGTGGGCAAACGCCTGCCCGAGAATGGTGGGGATTTTGAGGCTGGAGACGTGAATCAGGCAGGAGCTGGTGTATGGCGATATGGGCTGCAGAGTTCTGGGTGACCTGCAGCTTATAGCGGGTGGAGTTCTGGCGGCCGACAAGGGGTGAGTTTGTATAGTCGCAGGCAAGCCCGGATGCTATGAATGCGTGTATGATGGTTTTGGTGGCCAGCGCTTTGAAACAACGGCGGAGCCGAGTAATGTTGCGGATATGGTGGAAAGCAGACCGTTTCATGGCAGAGAGGTGAGGCAGAAAGGATAGTTGTAGGTGAAACAAGAAGCCACGCTCCTTTCCATTCCCTGGCTGAGCCGTCACTGTGTTTGGGTTAGAAATAATACTCACCGAAGATGAGAAGCCATGGCTTCATATCGAGGATGTGGAGGAGTTCGTGGGAAGCTCAGAGCTTGGGGTCTTGTGTTTGTGTCCGATGGGGAGGGGTCTCCGCAGACTTATTGATCAACCACACGCAGTAAATCTCTGAAGCGGCGTTTGCCAGGAATACGGAGCTTGTGATTCCCAAACATTCAATTCCCTATGACAGACATACACAGAGCTGTTGTGACAAAAGCGCACTGAGAAACAATCTGACACACACGCACAAACACAGACACTCACACAGACGAACCGGAGCTGTGACTTTGAGATGGATATTGAGCGAATTTCAGAGCTGGGAATCGGAGACTCAGCCTCTGCTTCTCTCTCTCTCTCTCTCTTCCTTTCTGCAGAGACCAGGCGGCACGAGCATGTCTTGTGATGTCCATTACAGGAATTGTTGCAACATTTGCCTCAGGCTCACATGTAACAGGACAGTGTGAAGCTGATTCACATAAACTGCAATAAGTTATTTTAATATGGTGAGTAAGGGCACTGCGAGCAGAACTGGGCACAAAGGGCGTTGCTTGTTGTGGAAAGGAGAAGTGAGTTCTTCTCCATTGCTATGCGCATCCATGTTTTTGTGTTCGTCTGCCAACATATAGTCACTACACACTATACCTCATTCCCGTTAAACACTATGGAAGGATTGGACACAGAGATAAGACCTGGAGTGAAATCTAACACAATATAAACTGGAGATAAAGATGTATTAT